GCATATAAATATGAAGTAGAAGGTAGGAGGGGTAAAGATCGTACTAAGAAAAATTGGAAGGGAGGGGGGGGGTAAGTTGGTTTTATGTGCGAGGGGCTTGGACTTCCAGCAGTGTGAGCATGTTAGATAGGAGCGAGTGGAGTCAAATTGCTTTTATAACTTGATGTGCTGTTGAGTGAGAACAATATAACATTTCTGAAGGAACTCACGACCGCGTAGCCGGACTCGAGTCCTGGAGGTATTAAGTACAGTATCTGCAATCTAAAGGAGCGTTGGATATATGTGGAAGTTTTCGATATGTAATGTAGACACGTCTTTGGCAAGAAAGTGACTGGGCGATAATGAAAGTGTTTCTTCATTTTCGTGTCACCTTCCTTATATCTTGCGATTTTGGCTTAAATAGCAACTCTCTTCATGCTGAATAAGTCAAGCGAAAATTTCTGTGTGCAGTAATTTCGCAAAAATTATTCTGAACCTAATGCAAAAAAAAAATATATTTCATTGTATTTATTATTAAATTATTGTAAACTTATCTAAAATATATTCAGCTGGTTTAGGCTAAATTAAATTGCTCGTGTTATGGTAAAATTAGTTAGGTTTTCTAAGGTTCTTTCGGTACAAAATTAAAAGAAAATTATTAATTTTTACATTAATATTAGAGAAAAACTGTATCATTAAACGTATAAAGAAAATTTTAGAAAAGACTTAATTTTAAATGAGTTCTTGCTAATTGACCAACTTTACCTATTTGGCACGACACACACACACACACACACACACATACACACACACACATACACACACACACATATATATATATATATATATATATATATATATATATATATATATATATATATATATATATATATATATATATATATATATTATATAAAATATATATCGTGCCGAATATGTAAAACTGGTCAATTAGCAAGAACTCATTTAAAATTAAGTCTTTTCGGAAGTTTTCTCTTATACGATTAAAGATATATTTTTTCCATTAATGTTAATGTAAAAATTTATAATTTTGCACCAAAAGAATCTTAGAAAACTTACCTAACCTTATTATAACAAGAGTAGTTTATTTTAGCCTAACCAAACTAAATATATTTTAGATTTGTTTACAATAATTTAATACTAAAACTCAGTGAAATATAATTTTTTTAGTTAGGTTCAGAATGATTTTGGCGAAATTATTGCATACACAAATTTTCGCTTGTCCTATATGGCAAGATGGGAGTTGCTATTTAAGCCAAGATCGCAAGTTCTGCCTATTCGGCACGACATATATATATATATATATATATATATATATATATATATATATATATATATATATATATATATATATATATATATATATATACACCCTGGAGCACCAGGCTTGTTATAAATTATTTAATTTTATCCTGCCACATTCAATATATTTCCGGAAAAACGTTAGAATTCTCAATTCTTCGTTAAATAAGCGCCTTGGTTCATTGACCAATCACAGGCAAGCCCGCCAAATCTGAAGCAACGTGGTTCACTTGCGTTAAGCATTGGCAGACTTACCTAGCTGCTGGTTGAGTATGGTGCTCATACTCTGGCTTCTGCCTTGCCATCTGTCACCGTGGTGTTTACTTATTATATCTGTACGTAGTGTACATATCTATATATACTGGGTGAAGGCATAATATACATTATAGTCTATCTGCCGAGACTGTTTGCTTTATTTCCCATTACGACCAGGTCTCGCAGACATTCATTACCCGTGTTCGTAATACTAGATAAATTTCTAAACATTATCTATCAATCCAGAACAGGACTTGAATTGGTGCACTCTACCTCAAGTTACATGGTAACTTCTAGTTAACGCAAATATCTAATCAGTCAGTTACGTGGTGGCATGGTATGTAGACATGGTCAAGAGATTTAGTTAGCATAAGAACATAAGAGTGTAGGAACGCTGCAGATTTCCTACTGGCCCATACAAGGCAGGTTCTTATCAAAACCAGGTGTGGGTTCCAAACCTATGCTGCATACTCCAGTATGGGCCTGACGTACACTGTGTATAGTCTCGAACAATTCCCTACTGTGGTATCGGAACGCTATTCTCAGGTTCGTCAGGCGCCCATATGCTGCAGCAGTTATCTTGTTGATGTCTGCCTCAGGAGATGTGCTCGGTGTTATACTCACCCAAAGATCATTTACCTTAATAATAATTATATCTATATTTACTACAAGTACATGTACAAGATACAAAGAGTCGACTAACACCCAGGCAACATTTTACTGATGGGTGAACATAGACAACCGTTGTAAAGAAGCACGTCCGATTTTTCCACCCCTTCTCCGGGACTCGAACCCGGACCCTCGCCGTGTGAAGCAAGAGCTTTTGCCGCCCATGAGGTTTGCAGTCTTTGGCCACCTAGCTTATACTGTGTCTGTGGTCTTCTTTGCCCTTCTCGGATCTTCATGACTTTGCATTTGGGGGTGTTAAATTCGAGGAGCCAGTTGCTGGACCAGGCTTCCAACCAATTCAGGGCTTTTTGTAGTCCTGCCTGATCCTCATCAGATTTAATTCTCCTCATTAACTTTACATCATCTGCAAACAGGGATACTACTGAGTCTATCCCTTACGTCATGTCATTCACATATACCTTAAATAACACGGGTCCTAGAAAGGACCCCTGTGGAACCCCGCTCGTCACAGGCGCCCACTCTGACACCGTCACGTACCATGACTCGTTGTTGCTTCCCTGTCAGGTATTCTCTGATCCATTGCAGTGCTTTTCCTGTTATGCGTGTCTGATCCTCTAGCTTTAGCACTAATTTCTTGTGAGTAACTGTGTCGACAACCTTCTTGCAATCCAAGAAAATGGAATCGACCCACTCCTCTCTCTCGTGTCTTCCGTTACCATGTCATGAAACTCCAATAGGTTTTTGACACAGGATCTTTCTTCTCTGAATCCATGCTAGTTGTCGTTTATATGCTTGGTTCGTTCTAGGTGCTCTACCACTCTCCTGATAATCTTCTCCATGACTTTGCATTCTATACCCGTCAGTGACACTGGTCTGTAGTTTCGTGCCTCGTCTCTCTCTCCTTTTTTGAAAATGGAGACTACATTTGCCGTCTTTCATACCTCAGGTAGTTGCCCAGTTTCAATGGATGTATTGAATATTGTTATTAATTGCACACACAGCATCTCTGCTTCCTCTGTAAATACCCAAGGAGAGATGTCCGGTCCCACCTCCTTTGAGGTATCAAGTTCGCTTAGCAACTTCTTCACCTCCTCGTAGGATGTATTTCATCCTCCACTTGTTGGTATATCCCTTGCTGGTGTACTCGCCTATCCTCCCTTCCTGGAGACCTTTCTATCTCCACTGTAAATACTTCCTTAAATCTCATGTTGAGCTCCTCACATGCTTCTCGGTCGTTTCTTGTGAAATCCCCATCACCCTTCCTCAGTCTGATTACCTGGTCCTTGACCGTTGTCTTCCTCCTGATGGGGCTATACAACAGCTTCGGGTCAGCCTTGACTTTCGATACCATGTCGTTTTCGTACTGTCGCTGAGCCTTTCTCCTTTTCTGTGCATACTCGTTTCTGGTGTGTATGTGTGTGTGTGTGTGTGTGTGTGTATGTGTGTGTGTGTGTGTGTGTGTGTGTGTGTGTGTGTGTGTGTGTGTGTGTGTGTGTGTGCGTATGTGTGTACTCACCTAATTGTGGTTGCAGGGGTCGAGACTTAGCTCCTGGCCCCGCCTCATTGCTGGTCGCCACTAGGTCCAGTCTCCTCCTGCTTCTGAGCTTCATCGCATCTCTTGTTAAAGCTATGTATAGATCCTGCCTCCACTACATCACTCTCCAGATTGTTCCACTTCCTGACACCTCTGACTGAATAATTATTTCCTAACTGAATAATTATTTCAATTGTCAGAGTTTATTGTCAGGGTAGCCCTGAAAGTGGGTTGGGCAAATATTGTTAGTGGGTTGGGATTGTTAAGGACCTGCCAAGTATGGGCCAACAGGCCTACTGCAGTGCTCCTCCTTTCTTATGTTATTTCCTAACATCCCTGTGGCTCATCTAAGTCTTCAATATCCAGTTGTGTCCCCATGTTGTGTCCCCATGTTGTGTCCCCATGTTGTGTCCCCATGTTGTGTCCCCATGTTGTGTCCCATCTCTGAGACATCCTCTCCCTGTTCACCTTCTCAATTTCTGTCAATATTTCATATGTCCTGCACTGTCGTCAGGTGTGTGTGTGTGTGTGTGTGTGTGTGTGTGTGTGTGTGTGTGTGTGTGTGTGTGTGTGTGTGTGTGTGTGGTTGTGTGTGTGTTTTTGAAAGCCATTTATTTCACAATTTTGTAAAGTTTCCATGAGGGTCCAAACTCCGGAGTCATCAGATAATTTCCTATTTTTCCTGACAAAGAAAAAATCCTCCATCGCCAGTGTCCATCAGCCGCTGAAGAACAAAATAATGCTGCCATCTATATCATGATCAGTCGTATATATAGAAAACTCATCTGAAGAGAATGGTACCTCTTTGTAACTGCCTCTCAACCAATCAAAACTTACTATGAGTTAAGTTGAAACTTACCATTGAGAATCTGTGCCTCAACTCCTGCCAATCAAAACTTTCTTCTGCAGCTATTCAAACTTTTCATTAGATATATCTCTCCTCACAGCAACAATAAAATAAATGATTCTGTTGTATTCTTAAACTTACAAATAATCCAAATTATCGTCTGACCACTCAGGTCGGGTATTTCTACTGGTCAAGCGTCTCCAAGAATCTTATTCTGTCAATCAGGTTTCTACCCATGAGTCCATCTAATGTTCCTATTGGTTAGGTGTTTGATCTGGAGCATTACTAAGAAGCCTCCAGAAATTTCATTCAGCCAATCTGCATCTTACCTTCTGAGGGGCGTTTCTATTGGTTGGTTGTCCTCCAATCAGGAGTCACTAGAACAGGAGCATTTGGAACCATCCCCCAACCTTCGGCCAATCAGCATCTTACCTTTACGTCCATCAGAAGTTTCTATTGGTCGGCTGTCTTCCCGACGCCACTTGATCTGAGGCGTCGGGAATCCATCTCCTCGACATTTGAGCATCACATCATCCTTCTCTCTGACAACAATGTTGCTCTTGCTACTCTCGTGATCCATGATGTTTGGCGGCACTGTGCAAATAAGGAAAAAATATGCTTAGATTAAAATGAATTTACACATTCAATATATGCAACTCTAACTTAATAAATACGTTTATAAGTTCAGAAAACTCACATGAAGTAAATGAGAAGCGAAGAATATTTGTATTTTTTCACGCGCAATGAGTAACCTATTTGGACCCTTTGGAATGAAGAGTGATGAAAGTTCTAACCATCAGACACGAAGCATGACAGACACTAGTAACACAGGAGAAATACTCTCTATCTCTAGTAAGAATATTTTACTCATCAAATTTACTCATTTTTTTGAAAAACATCTTTCGATTACGTCTGTCATTCGTTTTGTTACATTCTTGAGAATGTGTGTTTCTCTCTTCCGTTCATCAGTGGTCTTCTCACTGAGTCAGTTGCAATGTTTGCGACCATTACAAAGACCCACTCTAAAGGTTCCATTGACACTGATATATTGATTCCTGAGAACAATTTACTCACAAGAGTTGGGAAAGACAGTGGAAGAAAGGTTGGTCTGTCTACTCAAGGGCCGCTCATGTGCTCTGAGTTAATGCCATGAATCACCTAGTATAAACTACAAGATACAATCTTCCAGTAGCTCAAAGACCCACTAATGAAAATCGGTTACTATCTTGAAAATCTTTCAAACCCGGACCCAAATATCCCATTACTTGGTAACGTCAGTTCAAGACATCAGTAATGGTAGAATATGGCAAGGACTGTAATAGAAGACAGATTCCCAGGAGGCAGTTCGACAGCCTCACTACTAAGACTCTGCAATATATTCGACTGAGGAAAGCAAACAGCAAAACCCACCACACTAGAGAATAATCTTAACTTTATTTTCTAACACCGAGACAGGGTGACCCAAAAAGGAAACCATTTCACCTCACTCATACATAATCACTGTCTTTGCAGAGGCGCTCAGATATGAGAGTTTAGATGTCCCTCGAGCTGCCAGTATCCTAAACCCCTCCTTTGAAGTGCAAACATTGTACTTCCCTCTTCCAGGACTCATGACTCGCTAACCGGTTTCCCTGAATCCCTTCACTAAATATTACCCTGCTCACACTCCAACAGCTCGCCAGGTCCCACAAACCATTCGTCTCCATTCACTCCTAACACGCTCACACATGCTTCCTGGAAATCCAAGCCCCTCGCCCACAAAACCTCCTTTACCCCCCTCCCTCAAATCTTTCGTAGGACGTCCCCTACCCAGCCTTCCTTGTTACCACTATACTCTCGTACATTCCTTTCTTTGCTTCCATGGATAACGTTTTTAGTCTCTACAGATGCCTCAAAACCACTCACCTTTTTCCCCTCATCAATTCTATGGTTAACCTCATCCTTCATAAATCCATCCGATGACAAGTCAACTCCCAAATATCTGGAAACATTCACTTCTTCCATACTCCTCTTCTCCAATGTGATATCCAATTTTTATCTAAATCGTTTGATACCCTCATCACCTTACTCTTATCTATGTTCACTTTCAACTTTATACCTTTACACACACCCTCCCAAACTCGTCCACTAATTTTTCCAAATTTTCTTTAGAATCTCCCATAAGCACAGTATCATCAACAAAAAGTAACTGTGTCACTTCCCATTTTGCATTTGATTCCCCAAAATTTAATTCCACTCCTCTCCCGAACACCCTAGCATTTACTTCTTTCACAACCCCATCTATAAATATATTAAACAACCATGGTGACATTACACATCCCTGTCTAAGACCTACTTTTACTGGGAAGTAGTCTCCCTCTCTTCTACACACCCTAACCTGAGCCTCACTATCCTCATAAAAACTTACCGTTTAGCAACTTACCACCTATTCCATACACTTGCAACATCTACCACATTGCCCCCTATCCACCCTATCATATGACTTCTAAATCTAAATGTTAACTTCACTGATAATGGAGATCAGATAAGCGAGACACTTTTTCCATCGTTTCGTTATCTTTATTCTGGAAACCTTTCGCTAGCCAGCGTCTTTTTTTTAATTGAGATAGAGCCCTGACTCTAGAGGCATCCCAGAGCCACTAAAAACCAGTGATACTGACGCACTCCAAGAATTGGAAAAATAAATATAATCTGATAGCACGTTAAATATATCAATATAATCTGATGGTACATTAAATATCATAATCTGATAGTACATTTACAAGATTTTTGAAAGGGTTTAACGAAGCAAAACTGTCAAGCACAAGGACTCACAGGTGATGTTAAGCCTGTGTCAGCATCACAGAACTGGTTGCTCTTGCCTCTCGCAACTCCTGGATCATTACATAAGAACACAATAATGGAGGAACACTGCAGCAGGCCTACTGGCCCATACTTGGAAAGTCCTGTCAAATTCAAACCCACTAACGACAATAATTTCCCAGACCATTAACAGTGTTAGCCACTGAGTAAGTTCTGATAATCCTATTAACTCAAGTGCAAACCCCACTCATATCCATCCCCCTCTCACTCCATAATCCTGTAGGGACTGGTCCCAAATTTGCTCCCAAAAATCACTCCCTATAAAAATAATAATAATAAATAATTAATAATAATAATTATTTGTACAAGTGCATGTACAACACAAGAAGACCCAGCTGACATCAGTGACATACTATATAGAAAGCTCCTTGTTATGCAGAGCATTTCTGGCAAATTAGGTTAAGTTTGTCCCCAGGATGCCACTCGCACCAGTCGGATAACACCCCGGTGACTCTTCACTGCTAGGTGAAACACGCCCTAATGTTTCCACCCCTACCGGCGATCGAACCACGGACCTCAGTGTGTGAACTGAGTGCACTAGAAACAGAGCAACGGGACACCAAAAACTAGGTATACGGTGCAACATCCCTCCCACTTATGAAAAATAAGGGTGCCATTAATACACTGAGATAAAATACAATAAATGTCCAGGGCCCAAGACTGTTCAACGGCTCCCTCTTCAAGGTAGCCAATAGACCCTTGGCTGCCTTCAAGAAGGAACTGTACCTATAGTCAGTGCACGGTCAGTCGGGGTGTGGTTCGTATGTTGAAATGCGTGCGTCCAACAGTAACAACCTGATTTACCAGGCCCTGATTAATCGGCAGGCCTGCTCAAGGACTGGACCGCGAGGGCGTTCACCCCCGAACACTCTACAAGTAGATGGACTGAATATATGTTGACCTTGAAGCTGATATTAACATCATCCAGTTAGCTACTGACAACAGCGTAGTATTCAGTGAGGACAAATTTCAGTTATTACATTGCAGAATAACTGACGAAATAAAAGAAAGCTCGGAGTACAAAAGAAATTCATATCAGTCATTATATCATAAGTCTAATGTGAGAGACCTGGGAGTAATAATGTAAGAAGGCCTCTGTTACAAAAAACGCGATATCTAATAAGCTTAGAGATCTCCAGTGAATACTAGAAAGGACTGCCCTTCTAGCATCCAGCCTGTTACTGGGTTTTTGTAAGTAGTAGTCAGTATCCTGGTCCAATTATCCAGTAGAATTTAATAAGATTCCATAGTGTCTCAGGATTACAACTGGTAGGCTACTAAATAAATTAAAATTTAATAAGTTTATTAATAACAATTAAGTTGTCTAGGCGTATATTATCAAAGTAAATTATAGTAATCGATTGAATATAATATAGGATACAAGTTGGTACACTTCTCTGGTGTACAGTAGTATTGTGCTGAAGGTACATATCACATCTTTATGGCTTTTAAGTACTGTCTGGCATATTGTTAGCATTTAATAACATAATACAAACACACAAACTTACTTGTATATATATGTGTGTAAGTGCTCTAAGTAGTTCGCTATGTCTCAAGACTCGACTAGACTTAACCAGAGACTGACTAAAAGTCCTCACATAAACTAACTTCTTGACCAACCTGGTAATCAGAACAGCTTTCTTGAACAATAAAACGACTGATAAGCCGAACAGCAATATAACAAGCAACAGCGACACAGAATCAGGAACAAGGAGATAATATAACGACACTAAGTAGGGACCATCTTCAGATCCTCCACAAAAGTCACAAAACTCCCATACTACTGAATCTAAGTTCAGCATAAGAAAATCCCCGATTGTGACAGTACACAGATACCAGTACAAATTAGGTCAGAAGCTACAGATCAGGACCTGAGTTTCTCAGAGTGTCTATGAGACACAACCTCAGTACAACGTCGAAAATCACTAAGTCTAGGCTATGTTCTGTGAACAGAGTTAGACAGAACCAACAACAAGAAAGCGACAGAGACGATCTTCCAACAAGGGCCCACAAGAGAGAGCAGTAGAGGGACGTCTTGTTGGAAGCAACGTCAGACAGACAAGAGCTCGCAGCCCAGGCAGATTCTCACTCCTGGTGAGGTGTGATCACCCTGGTCACGTGACTCTCCGTGGACTGCTACTGCCCAGCAACACAGAAGCCGGCAGTGTAACGAGCGGAGCGATAAACACAGTAGTTAGACAATGCTGTCAGCTACTTAACACTCTCGAACTATGAGCACTGAATAATATATAAATATTACATCCTACCTAATAATATAACTAAGTCAAATAATAATATAAAGCAATATATTTACGATTTAGGTAATATCACAAATATAAGCAATATAAAATTATATGAACAGGTAATATACAATATATACATTGTGACCCATTCAGGGGTCGCAGTAGCCTCACTCTCAGGTAGCATAACAATGTTGTTACTGCATCTACAAGAAAAATGAGAGGTTGGATAACTAGAATTTTCAAAATAAGAGATCCCAAGTCAGTGATGACACTCTTTAAGTCACTCGTTCTCTCTTGGTTGGCACTACTGGCCCCCTTCAAGCTACGTGAAACTGCAGAACTGGAAAAGTTTCGGAGATCCTACACAGCTTGTATGAACAAAGTCAGGCACCTAGATTACTGTGAGTGGCTGGAGTCCTTCTAATTGCACTCCTGGGAACCTAGAACTTCTAAAAAATGAACAGTAATCTTCATTTGGAAAATTCTGAA